AAATCTAGAAGAGATGAATAAATTGCTGGACACATACACTCTCCCAAGACTGAACCAGGAAGAAATTGATTTCCTGAACAGACCAATAATGAAACTGAATCAGTAATAAATAGGCTACCAAACAAACAAACAAAAAAAAACAGCCTAGAACCTGACAGATTCACAGCTAAACCCTACCAAATATATGAAGAAGAGCTGGTACCATTCCTATTTAAACTATTGAGCAGGAGGGACTCCTCCCTAGCATCATCCTAATACCAAAACCTAGCAGAAACACAACCAATAAAGAAAACTTCAGGCCAATATTCTTGCTGAGCATCAGTGCAAAAATCCTCAACAAAATACTTGCAAACCAAATCCAGCAGCACATCAAAAAGCTAATCCAGTGCAATCAAGTAGGCTTCATCCCCAGGCTGCGAGATTGGTTCAACATAAGCAAATCAATAAATGTGCTTAATCACATAAACAGAGCTAAAGACAAAAATTACATGATTATCTTAACAGATGCAGAAAAGGCTTTTGATAAAATTCAATACCCCTTCGTGTTAAAAACTTTCAACAAACTAGGTATCAAAGTAACAAACATCAAAATAATAAGAGCAGGCTGGACGTGGTGGCTCATGCCTGTAATCCCAGCACTTTGGGAGGCCCAGGCAGGCGGATCATGAGGCCAGGAGATCAAGACCAGCCTGGCCAACATGGCAAAACTCCATCTCTACTAAAAATACAGAAAATTAGCTGGGTGTGGTGGCAGACACCTGTAATCCTAGCTACTCCAGATGCTGAGGTAGAAAAATCACTTGAACCTGGGAAGTAGAAGTTGCAGTGAGCTGAGATCACGCCACTGCACTCCAGCCCAGGGACTCTGTCTCAATTAAAATTAATAATAACAGCAATCTATGACAAACCCACAGTCAACATTATACTGAATGGGCAAAAGCCAAAGCATTCCCCTTGAAAACCAGCATAAAACAAAGATGTCCTGTCTCACCACTCCTATTTAACATAGTATTAGAAGTCCTAGCCAGAGCAATCAGGCAAAAGAAGGCATTAAGGGCCTCCAAATAGGGAAAAAGGAAGTCAAACTATCTCTGTGTGCAGGTGATATGTTTCTATATCTGGAAAACCCCATATTCTTGGCCCAAAAGCTCCTTCAGCTGATAAACAACTTCAGCAAAGTTTCAGGATACAAAATCAATGTACAAAATTCCCTACTAGCATTCTTATACACTAACAGCCAAGCCAAACACCAAATCGGAAAGACAATTTCATTCGCAATTGTCACAAAAAGAATAAAATATCTGGGAATACACCTAGCCAGGAAGGTGAAAGATCTCTACAATGAGTAAATATTTTAATGACTTTGAAAGTAAAAATTTTGATGGGGAAGCCAAGAAAGAACCCTGTGGGGCAAGATGACAATTAGAGGTATAGTTATGAGTTCATAATTCTTTTTTTTTTTTTTTGAGACAGAGTCTCCTTCTGTTCCCCAGGCTGGAGGGCAGTGGCGTGATCTTGGCTCACTGTAACCTCCTCTTCCGAGGTTCAAGTGATTCTCCTGTCTCAGCCTCCCAGGTAGCTGGAATTACAGGTGTGCAACAGACCCGGCTATTTTTTTGCATTTACAGTAGAAGTACAGTTTTATCATATTGGCCAGGTTGGTCTCAAATTCCTGGCCTCAAGTTATCCACCTACCTCAGCCTCCCAAAGTTCTGGGATTACAGGCTTGAGCCACCATGCCTAGCCCAATTCGTAATTTCTAATAAACATGTTCTCTAATTCTACCATTGAAAGGATCTAGAAATAATGCATTCCAGTAGCAATGTATGAGCATAGCTAATACCAGAACTTGACTTTCAAATATCAATCTCTAGTAAAAATACGAGCTCCTTAGAGAAATAGTTCATGCTAAGCCTCAGGAAAAGGAGATACAAGATAGGTCTAGAACATCGTGTTGTGCCAGAAAGTAAGAACGTACTCAATAAAATGACAGGAGCCATGTCAAAAAGACATGGGGGTCCACTTACAGGGATTTCTGCAAGCCAAGTCTCAAGAAACTCGAGCATCAAAATAATTGATAGTAATAGACTATAACCCATTGAGTAATATATAAAATCATGTACACATGTTGACAATAAATAAGGGCAGCTTTTTCCCTACAATAAAATGCTTTCAGAGAAATATATAAGGAATGATGGAATTAGAAAAATAATCATTTATTCAACCATTACAGGAAAAATTAATTCAGGCAAGACTCATCAACAGATACTAAATCTGTGTGATGCAAATAAGAAAACAGGATATTTTCACAATATCAAAGCATCTCTTCGCAATTATCACAAAGGAAAATAATTTTGTAGTTAAAAAAAAACTGGTGGACACTACCTCAGATAAGTGACAAAAATTAACATCACAAACAATAAGACAAACCAACATCAAGTACCTTCTGATGTAGTGCACTGAGAAGGACACAGCATCACTTTTGTAATTTTCCTGTCAAAAATGCACAATCTATTTATCAACATGAGGAAACATCAGAAAAACTCAAACTTAGGGACATTCTATAAAAGGCTAAGGAACTATTCTAGATTAAGGAAAACTAAAAAGACATGACAACTATTCTAGATTATAAAGATTAAAAAGACATAAATGAAATGCATGATCCTAAATTGGATTTGTATGGGGGGAAAATAATAAATACAATTAGGACAACTGATACAACTATAATGTGAACTATAGATTAGTTTAAAAGTATTATATCAATATTAGACTTGTGAATTTCATAATTGTAGTGTAGTTATACATAAGAAAATGCCCTTGTTCTTGGTAATTACACTCTGAAGTATTAAGGGGTAAAGAGTATATATGTGTGTGTGAGAGAGAGAACAAAAAAATCAAACACGGCAAATGGTAAAAATTGGAGATTTGGATAAATGATGTACAGGAGTTCTTTGTATTGTTATTATAATATTTCTATAAGTTTGAAATTATCCTCTCCCAATTTTTTGAAAATGTCACCAACTGTGTGTACAGTATAATATGCATCTCTCTTCTAAGTTGAACTATATGTTGGCAGCTGAGACTATGCCTTGCTGTCTCCTTTGCTACTATGTCCTATGTCTCCACAGAGCTAGTGACTAGTACTCTGAGGCAGGCACATGTTTGACAAAGCATTTTTTTAAAAAATAGAAAGACAAGCTCTGAATGTCAGAGGCTAAGTTTTAAAAATCCACACATATTTGTGAAACTTCCAAGCCCTTCTCTTCTGCCTGTGCCTCATGTCCTGAGCTTCCCTTGGATAATCCCATATGACTTTCCCAAACACAGATTTTCCATTTGGTCACTCACTCAAACTTCAGCACAGTCATATCTTTTGCCGAGCTAAAAATAGCCATTCTATCAAGTGGGAAGTGAAAGTCCCATTTACAGTTAAGAAGATAACTTCCCTAAGATTATTTTTAATGACGACAGTGCATCAGCAAATCAGGATTTGGACAAAATAAAGGCACAAAATATGCTCTGTTGCATGAAGTCTATCATTAATTCTTAGCTGAGTGAGTAGAAGTCCCAGCTCTGAAGTCAGACCTCGTGGATCCAAATCCTGAATTTGTCCAGCTGTTTAACTACTTAACCTTCCTGATCCTGTTTCCATACCTGTAAAACAGAGTTGAAAGTAGGACATATCCATGGATCTCATAGGCATCTTTTTGAGCAAAAGAAGCCAAAAGTAGTGTAGTATATAATATATGATTATATGAAGTTCATGGCAATAGATGGCAGAATAATGGCTACTTTGTGGGGAAAGAGTATTGACTGCGAAGGGGCACAAATGAGCCTTGTGGGTTGCAGAAATGCAATTTATCCTGATCTGGGTAATGGTTAAAGAGGAGTGAGTATGTAAACATTCACTAAGCTATACATTAAAAATGCCATGATACCCCGTCTTTAAAAAAATTGCTTTTCATAATGAAATTTTTAAAAAGTCTTATATCGCAACAACAAAAAAATAAATGCAAAGAAAAAAATATAATACCAACCAAATAGAATTGTGAGGATTAAATGAGAAATTGTATGCAAAGCACCTAGTACATTCATTCTATATAAGTCAGTTATTACAACTACCTATTACAATAATAGAACTGTTATGTTTAAGAGATGAGTCTACCTTTTTCTTCTCAGTTCTTATTTTTATACCATTTCAAACTTTTCTCTTGCCTTTGAAGCTCTATATTGCTCTCTTTGTCTTTGAATAAAGGAATTATAATTGGCCCTGGGTCTCCAAGGGGGATTGGTTCCAGGACCCACCATGAATACCAAAATCCTAAGGATGTTCAAGTCCCTGATATAAAATGATGCAGTATTTGCATATAACCTATGCACATCCTTCTATATACTTTAAATCATCTCTAGATTATAATATCTAGCATAATGTCAATGCTATGTAAACAGTTATACTATATTGTTTAGGAAATAATGACAAGAAAAAAGTCTGTACATGTTCAGTACAGATGTAATTTTTTTCAACTATCTTCAATCTGTGGTTGGTTGAATCCACTAATACACTCACAGATATGCAAATCTAACTTTTTATACTTCTTAAAGTTTTGAAGAGCATTTTTAAAGACGTAAATAAGGCAGTCAAAAGTATAAATAGTTGGAAATAACACTAATTCAATGAAATCAGCCTGAAAGTCATCAGATGTTAAAACCTACAGACATGGAAAAGCTTGCATTGATAATCACTAGGCACCAGAATTAGATTCTCCTTTCAGTTAGTTCAAATTCTAGAGGAAGTTTAAACTAAAGGGAAGAAATTCAAGAAAATGATAAACACAAACTGATGTCTGAACATTTTTCAAATGAAAGTGAAACATTACCAATTCATGCATTCTTGCTGAGCTGGCTCTCACTCTGGAGATCATTTCTAACTCTCTTTGACCTGGTAGATTTTCTTAAATGTTATTGTCAATTAGGTTACACTGTTATTTTTTAAAACTTACCTTTATAAAAGCATAGCCAACACCATTATCTGTAATGGTGAGACCAAGCGAATCCTCAGATTTATACACATTCACTTCTTTTTTGATTCCTTTCACATGGGCAAATATGAAATCTTGTAATCCTAATTGTTCTCCTAAGAGTCTTCCCATGTCGACTCTATGTGTGTTTAAAGTGCAATATAAGATCTGCAAAGAAAAAGAAAAATTCAGGTCCATTTCCATTTAGAATACATCTGACCATTAATTTATCCATAAATATTTATTGACTGGAATACTCAATTTATGATACAAAGAGTTACATCATAAAATGTGTTTTTATGCTGGCTGGAGAGAATCTGGGACACATTTTCATACGGTAGCATTAGGTAACATGTATTGAGGGTTTCCTATAGGCCAGGCTTCATGCTAGACAATTTACGTCCCATTATCTCACTTAACCTTTACAGTAACTTTACAACATACATTGGTATCGTCATATTACAAATAAGAAAATTGAAGCCTGGCATTATTAAGTAATTTCTCTGAGGTCATACAGCCAGTACTTGTCAGAGCCAAGGATTTGAGTTCAGGTCTTACCAGTTTCAAAGTGGTTTATGCCAAGTGACCTGACATTTTACAATGCTGAAATCAAAGGTGATAGTCCCAAAGTTCTGCATTGTGCATATACTACAGTGAAAATATATGCAAGCCTGTATTTGAAAGTGGTAAATATATTTTTTAAATATAGACAGTTTTATTTATCTTGCATTATAGTGACTGAAAAATGCAATTTAATTAGTGAATGAGGTGTTAAAATGAATATGTTTTAGAACTAAAATGGACTTCAAGGACTATTAACCCAACCTCTAAATTAAAAAAAAGTGGGGGAGGGGGATCATGAGATTGAGGTCTGGAGATTTAAAAACAGCTGGTACCAATTCATGTGATGGTAGAAAGAGAGCAAAAAAGGAACCAAACAGTGAAAAGCTGTAAGGAGATTTCAAAGGGGCTTTTTATGTTTACCAAATCTTGATTTGATCTCATTTTCCTTCAGAAATATGACTCATTTGACTAACATGTGCAGTGCTACTCAAGTTTGTCAACCATAATCTGGGAAACTTGTGGGGTCCAAATTATAGAAGAAGAGAAGGAAGGTTGAAAAGATGTCATCGGTTAAGAAGCTAAGTTCGGCCGGGCGCGGTGGCTCAAGCCTGTAATCCCAGCACTTTGGGAGGCCGAGGCGGGTGGATCACGAGGTCAAGAGATCGAGACCATCCTGGTCAACATGGTGAAACCCCGTCTCTACTAAAAATACAAAAAATTAGCTGGGCATGGTGGCGCGTGCCTGTAATCCCAGCTACTCAGGAGGCTGAGGCAGGAGAATTGCCTGAACCCAGGAGGCGGAGGTTGCGGTGAGCCGAGATCGTGCCATTGCACTCCAGCCTGGGTAACAAGAGCGAAACTCCCTCTCAAAAAAAAGAAGCTAAGTTCAACAAGCATGTATTGAGTAGCTGCTATGTAACAAGCCAAAGAAGGGCATTTTAATATGGCTGTTTCATGCCAAAATGACTAAATGAAATTTATCAGGTAATGTCCACCACAGACACCGCAAGCCCTTCCACCAACCCGGATCTTTACCACAGGCCTCACTCCCGATCCTCTCCCAGTATCCTGGAGTTTTTCACATCAGTCCTGATTCCCACCAGAACCTTGATTAAGCCTTAACACATCCATATTCTGCTTGCTGCTCAGAAATAGGGTGCACTGACTACTCACCGAATGGCTTTTTAGGCCATGTCAAAATGTATCTGAATCAGAAGAGCTTCATAAAATAAAGCTCTCCCTGCTACACAATCAACGGTTAAGAGCGTTCGGCCAAGCTCAGACCAAATCCCAGAGGTGTATTAAACGAGCTAGTGATGACGACAAAGAAAAGGTCACTGGCTACTGACCCCTACCCTGTCCTCTTTTCATCCCAGTCCTTGCTGAGACTTTAATTTAACCCTTTATGTTCCCAGTCAAGGGCAAAATATATTCAGCTTTGCAGATAGTGAGTTTTTGCAAATATTCTCTAGTGTAAAAAGTATATTGTTCTCAGTGGGACAAAATAGTTAAGTCAATAATGGTGCATGTTTCTGATCCTAATTGAAAAATCAAGGGCATATTAGTTTGCTGACAAAAATCATTTGAATGGGTGGGGGGGAAGGAAGTATGTGCAGAAAACAGGTTTTCTGACTCCCCTTCACAAAATGATGGGAAGTAAGTAGAAGAAATAGTTTTTCTCCTTGTTGTTGTTGTTTTTTCCAGTGAATCTGTCAATGGTATGCATAGTGGCTCCCAAACATCATCAATATAAAAGCAATTTACCCATTAGATAGGGGGGGAAATCATTACAATACAATGATCGTCTAACAGGATACAGAAAAACAAAAAGAAAAAAAAAAGGAAATCTCACACAAACTGAACTTCTAATTACCAAGCCTCTTCCTTTGCTTCCTTTCTTTCAACTTTTCACATGCTTCACTACAGAGCAAACATTAGATTTCCTGCAGGTAGAAAAACCCTTTTCCATCGTGCTTCCTCCCCTGCAGAAGAACATTCCATTCTGGGTAGTCAAAAGTTGGCAGGCAAGGCATTAGTTTCTTTTTTTCTGGAAGGAATGGAGCCAGCTGTATCTTTAAGTGAATGGAGCTAGCAGTATCTTTCAGTGAATGGAGCTCCATGGGACGCTGTGTTGAAAACCTGTAGGAATGTTATAGCCACTGCAAGGTGCAATAAGAGCAAGGTGGAGTAAAAGCTCCATGACTTCAGATCAGCTCTTCGTGGGAGAAAAAAAGCCTACCACTCACACAGTATCAATGCACAACTGTCAGCAAGTATACCTCTAAGAATGTGATAAAGGTCTAGAAATTCAAGCATCCTCAAAGATTTTATATTTTGAACTGCAAAATAAGAAAGTGATACACCAGTTTCTAAATAATGCGAAGTTCCTACTCATCCACTCATCAAAAAGCAATGAACATTTAAATCAAAAGGAACTTCAAGAATCAACTGTGAGCTTTCCTACCCTCGCTCATACTCACATGATAGAGAAGAAAACAATAAAATTAACAGTGAAGTGGCCACATTACCAATGTTCCTATAAGAAACATTTGCTTCCAAAATCTAGGTACATTACACAACAGGCAGTGAAAGGCAGGGCTTAACTTTTTTTATATATATATATAACACTCTGGTGGACAAACTAAACTAAATCAGAAAAGATTTGGAAAGTAAATTCATAACAAGGTATCATGCAACATAAGGAAAATCACTGATCCACTAGATATAATCTTAATGATGTTTTTCATTGTAAAATGAAAACCTTAATACCTTCTGAGGTATCTCTATTTGTTGCTTTACTGCCATCATTGCCCATTTCCACAACAGATGGAGTACTCATGACTATTTCATTTTCTAGAGCATCACTGCACAATAAAAATACAGTGTAAGCTAAATAATTTCAAATTTTCTAATAGTCACAGTAACAAAAGTAAGAATAGCTGAATTAATTTAATTTACAATTATGTAACCCAGTATATCCAAAGTATTGTCATTTCAACATATAAT